GTAGAAGGGCAGCCTAATATGGAGGGCATGGAACAGTGGGGCAGATAGCTTCATCGTGAGGTTCTTGATTTAATTTGGGAATTAATTTTAAAAAATGCTTAATTTGAAATATACCGGGGATGGGGCTGCTTCAGACTCCCTTATTACCCTACCCAACCATTCCTTCTAAAGTAATAAAAATGATAACCCCCTACTGGCTTCCATACCCACCCCCCCCCCCCCCCAATATCCTGTTGTTTTGAATTTAATGTTTTGTAAATCGAACAAATAGTTTTATTACAAGTTTTGTTTTGTCATTAGCTCTGTTGGTTAAGCTATCAAAATAGTAAAGCCTGATTTATACTACGCCCTTGAAGCCATGGACCCTATGGGATGAAATGTAATTCGCTTTTGCGCTGTTTCTAATTGCAGCATCTCTAGCTATTCTTCCTGATCGAATCACACTAAAATCCAAGATGACTGGGCTTTAAAATACCATGTAGCTGCTTCCTGTTGTCGGCTTCCAGGTGTATTGTGTTTGAATATTTTCTGCGTTGCAGTAATTTCTATAAAAGTAAATGTATTTTTTCTATCTAGCTACTACTCTAACTTGATTCACTTCGTTTCTCTTTGTTTAAATTACCTGACAATGCCAGGAAAACATAAACACAACGGATGTGAAATTCCACCACTAACTAGCTTTTCGTGGGAGTCAATGCTAAGTGGCACAGACACACAAGCACACCAGTATAAATGCTAACATCGATGTGAACAAACGGCATCCTGAAGCACAAACCACAACTACAAACTCTCTTAGTTTCTTCAGTCCAATAAATAAACGACTCCAGCTTATAAACCAGTGTATGTAAACAATCTCTCTTTGAGAGTACAGTGTGTGCCGATAAAGACGTGAACTAAGTGTAGGGGGTTACCCTACCCTACCAAAGAGGGTTTTGGTAGCAGGCTATAAACATGCTTATTTCTGTCGCTTAAATGAACATTTAGAAAAACAAGCAACATTTTTTTTTCTTTGAACCAGGAAGTCACATGGACATTGAAGGCCTTGTTTTACTAGTAGTATAAATCAGGCTTGAAAGAAGTGAATACATCTACATCTATAATTTACTTACAGACGTAACACTCAGCCAAGCTATAAAGACTATGACACATTTACCGTGACAGTTTAGCTTGTTAGCATGCTAACATTTTAGGTACACAAGCAAAACAGAACAGGATATCTAATGGACCTATTGTAGAAAAGTCACAGTCAAATATTTAAACCCTGCAGAGTGCTTTGGGAAATGGCCACCATTGATGTAAAGTAAATTAAATTTGTAGTGAAAATCAAACCTGAAATTCACCTCCAAACATCAGCTATTTTATAAATCTGAGGGGAAGGTTGAACACAAGTGTGGTGATAAATTGTTTGAAAGAGCAATAAGGAATGGACTAAATACAATGATTCGTCATCTCAAAGGGCATTCATGTTTGTTTGTGGACAAGCAACACAACTGAAGAATCGAACTGTAAACGATCAACATGAGCTGTCAATCACAGAGTCTGATTCTGTCAGGTTGAAGCTGCTACAGTTGTTCATTTGAACATGAGACATTAATATATGACATTAGACTAAGCTGCTTAAAATTGATCAGTAGTGACTGATAGATTGATTTTATTAATGTATATCTTTTTTATTAATCATTACTTGAATCAGTATGCGAAGCAGAAATTCAAGTTTCATGTCCAAACAGTACCATAATAAATATCTCTAGATGATCAGAGGAGGCAGTTGTAGTCAGATGTTTTTATTTCGTATATAATAACAATGCTGTTGATATGAATCACTGTAATCTTTAAACAAATTATGTTTCTTCAGAGGAGAAGATTTTAAATGGTGAGGTGTTGAAGTGTCTCACATGTTTAGAGCCTTTGTACAGTGTACATGACATTAAATAAATATTTTCTAAACAAGCTGGAAACATGGACTCCATATTCTATTATTTATTTTGTTATTTCTGCACTGCCTCGAGAAGGGGTGCTGCTCCCTGTTGGTGAAAAGTGGTACTACATATGTGAGCTTTAAAGGTGTAGGTCATGCACATTTCATTAAAGCTCTTTAGTACTCAATAGATTTTACGATTCACCATCATGTTTAAGTCATATCACTTTTAATCTGTGTCTTTTGCCGATCTGTTTTTCATTTCACTGTTCACTACGATTACTAAAATCCGTCAGCTTCTGGACAACACATACTGACCTGGCAGAAGCTAAACCCTGAAATATCAGAACACACAAAGGTTTCAACATTTTCAACATTTCAATACCACCTGTTTTTAAGCTATACAAGCTCCCTTATGCAAATTATTAAAAGTATCGTTGCTGTACTGAAACATGGCCAATATATTTGTGTTTTTTAGACACTGTGAAAGAGTTTGGCTGCAGTTTTAGGCATAAAAAATAGATATCCTTGTCACTGGGTGCCTTGACTTATTTTTTTTGCCGTGGTTTCCAAACAGAAATCAGTATAATGTCTGGTATTGTGACAACTCAGGAACTCACACATATCTGGATTAACTTCAATATCATCATCCTTAGTTTGCCTGTACAAAAGAAAATGATGGTTCTGCTCCAGGTTTCTACCTGTTCAACATGAGTCTGGTTCTGCTCCAGGTTTCTGCCTGTTCATCAAGAGTCTGGTTCTACTCCAGGTTTGTGCCTGTTCATCATGAGTCTGGTTCTGCTCCAGGTTTGTGCCTGTTCATCATGAGTCTGGTTCTACTCCAGGTTTGTGCCTGTTCAACGTGAGTCTTGTTCTGCTCTAGGTTTGTGCCTGTTTATCATGAGTCTGGTTCTGTCTGTTCTACATGAGTCTGGTTCTGCTCCAAGTTTCTGTCTGTTCATCATGAGTCTGGTTCCGATCCAGTTTTCTGTCTTTTCATCATGAGTCTGGTTCTTCTCCAGGTTTCTGTCTGTTCACCATTAGTCTGGTTCTGCTCCAGGTTTCTGCCTGTTCAACATGAGTCTGATTCTTCTCAAGGTTTCTGTCTGTTCAACATGAGTCTGGTCCTGCTCCAGGTTTCTGTCTGTTCAACATGAGTCTGGTTCTGCCTGTTCAACATGAGTCTGGTTCTGCTCCAGGTTTCTGTCTGTACAACATGAGTCTGGTTATGCTCCAGGTTTGTGCCTGTTCTACATGAGTCTGGTTTTGCTCTAGGTTTGTGCATGTTCAACATGAGTCTGGTTCTGTTCCAGGTTTCTGTCTGTTCAACATGAGTCTGGTCCTGCTCCAGGTTTCTGCCTGTTCAACATGAGTCTGGTTCTGATCCAGGTTTCTGCCTGTTCATCATGAGTCTGGTTCTACTCAAGGTTTGTGCCTGTTCAACATGAGTCTGGTTCTGCTCCAGGTTTCTGTCTGTTCACCATGAGTCTGGTTCTGCTCCAGGTTTCTGCCTGTTCAACATGAGTCTAGTTCTGTTCCAGATTTCTGTCTGTTCATCATGAGTCTGGTTCTGCTCTAGGTTTCTGTCTGTTCAACATGAGTCTGGTTCTGCTCCAGGTTTGTGGATGTTCAACATGAGTCTGGTTCTTCTCCAGGTTTCTGCCTGTTCATCATGAGTCTGGTTCTGTTCCAGGTTTCTGCCTGTTCAACATGAGTCTGGTTCTGTTCCAGGTTTCTGCCTGTTCATCATGAGCCTGGTTCTGCTCCAGGTTTGTGGATGTTCAACATGAGTCTGGTTCTGCTCCAGTTTTCTGCCTGTTCATCATGAGTCTGGTTTTGCCTGTTCAACATGAGTATGGTTCTGCTCCAGGTTTCTGTCTGTTCAATATGAGTCTGGTTCTGCTCCAGGTTTGTCTGTTCATCATGAGTCTGGTTCTGCCTATTCTACATGAGTCTGGTTCTGCTCCACATTTCTGCCTGTTCAACATGAGTCTGGTTCTGTTCCAGGTTTCTATCTGTTCATCATGAGTCTGGTTCTGATCCAGTTTTCTGTCTGTTCAACATGAGTCTGGTTCTATTCCAGGTTTCTATCTGTTCATCATGAGTCTGGTTCTGATCCAGGTTTCTGTCTGTTCATCATGAGTCTGGTTCTGATCCAGGTGTCTGTCCATCATGAGTCTGGTTCTGCTCCAGGTTTCTGTCTGTTCATCATGAGTCTGGTTCTGCTAATCGGATGAAACATTGTTGAAGGGAGGTTCCCAATTGAAATCCCCAGTGAAGTCCGAGCTTTTGCTGACTGTCAGTCTACACACTTCAGTTGTGGGCGGCCAGATGCGACTATCTAATAGGGCAGGTAGTATCGACGTTGGCATCAACTATTAACTCACATGAACCTGGTCTGGGTCTATTGAAGGTGGCGATGCTGGTTTGGTTGTGTTGGTAACTAAGGCCATAGAGTAGGATATGTAACTTATCAGTTGAGCCAAGGGGCATAATTGGGAAGATGGATTTCTACACTGAGCCCTTATCCTTATTAGCGCACAAGTACACCTTGTGTTTATTTCAAATAAATAAACTTACCTGGACACAAATCACCGCCAATGTCAAGGTAAAATTTATCATCCCAACAGGGCAATTTGCTTTATAGCCAGCAGTGAATAACACAAGAAAAAGTGAGTCTCATTCACACAATAACACTGAAAACCATCAAGGGGGAAAAGAAACCAACGGCACTTGGAGTCAACATTATGATGATCAGTTTACCTGAAGAAAACTAAAGGCTGTCATATGTCAACAACATATATATCTGTCACTCTCACCCATCCCAAGCTGCCATTGTCCACCCTAATAAAGTAAGGTCAGACTAATGTTATGTGTATTTTGTGCTTTGAGACTCTGGGGTAAAAGAAAATAAGTCCAGATTTTGAGAAACAACCAGAAAAAAACTTTCTTTCAGTGAAAAACAAAGTAAATCAAATGTATGAATGCATGTCTACTTTGGGCTTCCATAGTTAAATATTATGGGTTGTGTTAAGACAAAAATTACACATTTTTCTTTTCATAAGAAAAAAGAGATTCTGTATATTTTTTTAACATCATTTTAATTTGTTCATTATTGCAATCAAGTCAAACGTTTCCATCCTGACGGGGTTTATAACAACACAACATCTTTACAAGTGCCCAAAAATATATCTCAATGACTTTGTCTTTATATTTGGCAACTTATAAATCTCTGCTAAAACAAATAACAATATATATACTATTTTATTCATGAAAAAATACATTGTCCATTTCCACAACAAATAGTTACGTGTTATACGTACAGTAGATTTCTTATATGACACCTGGAACATGCTACAACTGAAAAACATGAAGATACAGAGTAAATAATGAGCCGGATACTGAAAATACAGAGTAAATAATGGTAAAGGGACGGACACTGAAGATACAGAGTAAATAATGGGCTGGATACATCAGATACAGAGTAAATAATGGGCCGGGTAATGAAGATACAGAGTCAATAATGATAATGGGACGGACACTGACGATACAAAGAAAATAATGGGCCAGGTAATGAAGATACAGAGTAAATAATGGGCCGGATACTGAAGATACAGAGTAAATAATGATAATGGGACAGACACTAAGATACAAAGAAAATAATGGGCCAGGTAATGAAGATACAGAGTAAATAATGGGCCGGATACTGAAGATACAGAGTAAATAATGATAATGGGACGGACACTGAAGATACAGAGTAAATAATGGGCCTGATACTGAAGATACAGAGTAAATAATTGGCTGGATACTGAATATACTGAGTAAATAAAGGGCCGAAGATACAGAGAAATTAAGTGCTGGAGGACTCTCCTGTCAGGCTCTGACCCTGGACGCAATCAGATGAATGATTGAGCAGATTCTGGTCATATTTAAACATTTATTTCAGCCTTTATGAAAAAGTGGATGTGTGTATATTTGTGGTACTGTTCCTCTAACATCCAGTAACATTGACCAATAATAAAACTAGCACTCACAGTGACGAGAATGTTTTCTAACTGAGGAGAGAGGACTACATCCCTGTCTCAACTCCTTCAGAGCTGTCTGTCTGTCTGTCTGTCTGTCTGTCTACCTCTCTGTCTGTCTGTCTGTTTGTCTGTCTGCCTGCCTGCCTGTCTCTCTACCTCTCTGTGTGTCTGCCTGCCTGTCTGTCTGTCTGTCTGTCTGTCCGTCGTGTTTCACTAAAACAAAATGCTACATGTATCGTGGTAATCAGGGTTATCGTTCTTAGTTTTGGTTGGTCCTGGATGTTGACCCTGCAGATGTCATTCATAGTGACATTATAGACCAAGTAGAGTTATACATTATATAACCCCTAATGTAGTTTCCCCCGAAAATATTCCAACAAATAATTTTAATATCAAACATGAAATAATCTCAAATAAGGAACCCGCTGTTCAGTAGAATCTATCAGTAATTGTGGATTATGGCACCCCCTGTGGTCAAAGTATGTAGTGTCCACGTCACACTAAGTCCTAAATCCAAAGACACTTAAAGAAGCCAAACATCCGGCTGTAGGTTGTAAGTTCTTATGTGTTCACAGTGTTAAAATAAAGTTTCTATAAAAAATAAAGATTAGAACAGAGTTCAGCATGTAGTGTTGATCTTTACAAAGATTTAGGATCAATATCAGACCTGTAGTCCTCACCACCAACAACAAGACAACAAAGCGGACAAGGTGGACACTGATGACCTGTTTCTGCTGAGGGTCTGATTCACATAAGGATTGATTCAGACCCTTAGCTCAACCTGTGATAAGGAGTTTAAATGACACTGTCAAATTCACCACATGCAAAGAGTTAAATGTTCCCCTAACTGCGCTGCAGAGCAAACAGTGTGTCTGTGTTTATTATTCAGTCATTTGAGAAACAATTGTCTCTTTCTCTGTAGATCAGCCTCATTGTAAAAAGAGTCTAACTCACAAACAGAGGGCGCTACCAGCCACATACAGTTAGAGTGAAAAAATTAACGTCTGCTGAGAGTTGGTGGTAACAGCGCCATAGGATTTATAAGAGATGTGACACTCAAAAATTCCAGTGATCAGTAAAACAATTACATCTCTGTATGCCTTCAAAATAACATATATTAAAACGCAAACTGAAGTTCACTTCTTAAAATCTAAAGCAGCTGCAGACTCTTTAAATCTGAGGCTGCTGCAGACTCTTTAAATCTGAAGCTCCTGCAGACTGTTTAAATCTGAAGCTCCTGCAGACTCTTTAAATCTGAGGCTGCAGCAGACTCTTTAGATCTGAAGCTGCTACAGACTCTATACATCTGAGGCTGCTGCAGAATCTTAAAATCTGAATGTGCTGCAGACTGTTTAAATCTGAAGCTGCTGCAGACTCTTTAAATCTGAGGCTGCAGCAGACTCTTTAAATCTGAAGCTGCTGAACTACATGAGGCTTGAACATCGAGTCATATAAGTACTTTATATTGTAAATATTACAACAGCTCTTCATGCTGTTTTCTTATTTTACAATATCTCATCACATTGCAGGTAGCAGAGAAGACGCTCATGTTGAGATCACTGTAACGAGGTGAGAATCAAACAAAGCGACACAGAATGTTCAAAAAGCTTCACAAATATCCGACTAAAAGTTCACGTCACGAGACGTTTCCCTTGTGCTGAAAACTCTTTTAGAGAAACAAAAAGAATAGAACAGAATAAATCGATGATACTTTTATGAATTTGAAACACTGCATATTTAAAGGTGTGTTTTGTTTTCTGTGCAGCAGCTGCAGAACATCTGGAATGAATGAACCGTACATGTGCTGTATTCTATAATCTCTGGTTATAAAGTGCTGCACTGGGAGTGATTTCAGGGGTTAAAAAAAGTGAAGCTAAACCTCTCTAACACTGACTGTGCAGGTCAGGGCGGGACTTGAGTTCTGGTCTCTCTAACACTGACTGTGCAGGTCAGGGCAGGACTTGGACTCTGGTGTCAGGTCACGAGCAGAAGGTTGACTGCAGCTGCTTGAATGCAGCTTGTCTTTGTTTCTTCTCCACTTCCTGTCTCTTTTGTTCTTCTTTCTCCTCTCGGATCTCCGCCTCAAACATACTGCCTGCAGCTGCAACCTTCATCTGTGCAAACACAAGAAGGACGATGTCACTCTCACCCAGCATCATTCATCCTGAAATCTCATGTCGCCTGGAATTTAAAGGGCTATTGTCCTTTGACAGCAGCTCTGGGTTCATGGGGAGAAAGAATGCAGATCAAGAAACTCAAACTTCACCCTAAAAATAACCAAGTTAGAAATGTAGTTTTGTTACATTGATGATGTAGTACTGTACCCCAACCACCAGGGGGCAGCCAAGCAGCATTTTCTACAGGCACATAAAAACATTTCATTGAAACGCTGCGGGCAGGTGACTAATAAAAGTTTCAGAGTTTTATTTCCAGATATACACTTTTTTTTTTATAAATAAGACTTTAGTAAAACTTTTATTCTGGTGTTCAAGTTCTTGTGATGCCCTCGGCTTGTCTGTTTTTATCTCAGATGAACTCTTTCATGGTTTTATTTCCCAGCAAGGTGTATGATTCAGGTAATGCCCGATCTGCACTGCAGCTGGAATCGTTACCTGAGTTCATATTTCATGAATGAAAGGACTAAAAGGACTAAAAGGACTCAGCTGGTCAGAAACAAATATGATGAACACCAAGAACAAGTAAAACAGCCGTCATGATAAAGACGTGGTTAAAGGATTAAACAAAGGAGTACCTTTGCTTCAAAGAAGTCTTTGGCTCCCATCACTCCCTCTGTGGAGACGTTGATCTCTGACAGACGAGCCAGAGCCATCAGGCCACTCTCCTCCTGCAGCTCTCCGGCCGCCGCTCGCCTGAAGATCAGCAGGAACTGCCGGAGACAAAGTTTGAACACAATGAGTAAAGATGGAAACATGACATGTGCGTGTCATCGATGGAGAAACACTGAAGCCTTAAAAGGGCGGTAACATCCGCAGCAGAATGGTCACATGACTTTCGAACTCCATTCATAAAAACATAGATTTAGGGCACACTCACACGAGGCAAATCTGTCCCGTATCATGCTTAAAGGCTTTATATGTGATTTTTTTGATCCAGCAGATGTCGCCCTTGAGCACCAGCATGAAACCAAAACAACTTGCGGTGTATTGTTGTGTTAGCATGCTAATGCTAGCGATCTTTATCATGCTCGTATCTTCACACTGCATGTAAATTTACCTGAAATGAGCGTGATCTAGAAACGAAGTTAAGCAGTGAGTACAGTATGTTATTCTTCTTTTCTCTAGTCCCTCAATTAAAAAACTTTTATACACGAGGGGAGGAGTCAGCCGCCATCCCAACGATGTAAACAAGGACTCTTGACACCTCTGAAAACATCACAGACAGTGGGACTCGGGTGTTACACCCATTGTAGACGGTCATGACTCACAGAGTTATTTTCAGAGGATATACTTGATTTCTATTCCATTTAAGTGTGAAAAATCGCATATAAAGCCTTTAAGAACGATTGTCCTCGCCCCCCCATTCCCCCGCTGGCCTGCGCTCACACTGCTCCAGGACTAACCGGGTCTGAGCACGTTACCTCTGTACATAACGTCGTAAAACAACACATGCACGCCGTTATGTTATTATGAAGCATGCTCAGTTTACAAGACGGACTCAAACCCTAAACCAGCCATCGGAGAACAACACAGAGAACATGACGGCTACTTTACTAACTTTGTGGTTTATTTTTATTTTATTTTTTTTAAAGATTTATTTTGGGCTTTTCGTGCCTTTAATGAGGAGAGAGGACAGTGGATAGAGTCGGAAACCAGGGAGAGAGAGCGGGGAATGACATGCGGAAAGGGGCCACGGGTGGAAGCGAACCCGGGCCTACCGCTCGAGATGAGAGTCTCAATACATGGCACGCGCGCCCCAACCATTGCGCCACCAGCGCAACTGCTTCCATAATGAAGAATTTCCACGTTGCGTTCCCGCGTGTTGTACTCGTTCATGAAGTGTGCCGTGCTTGAACACGAATCGGAGCACACACACTAGACAAACGAACCGGACTTTAGGGGTGAAGTGTGCTTTGGCACGGCCTCCATCAGTTTGTTAAGATTAAGATTTACTTTTATTGATCCCCGCAAGGTGAAGAGAGTTTTTACACACTCGGTAAGTCATGCAACACACACATAGGCTGAAATATACACACACATGCACAAACAGGATCCTACGGATGTCAGAGTGACGGAGCTGCCCACAGTGGACGCTCCTGAGCTGGTGGTGGGGAGGGGGTTTAGTGCCTTGCCCTTGCTCAAGGGCACCTCTGCAAACTTACATATTTGGTCCACACCAGGACTTGAGCCGGCGACCCTCCGGTTCCCAACCCAAGTCCCTACAGATTGAGCTACTGCCCACCAGTATGTCAGAATATGACACCACCTGGTAAGTATTTAAAACTCTAACACAGAGGTAGTGAAGGAGGGTGGAGCAGCTGATAAACAGTCCTTCACAGTAAAATGAGTCTTTTTGTAAAAATCTAACATTTTATTATTTATTCTGTTGAAGTATTTAATCTATGATTAAACTGTTTAATGACTTTTCAAAATAAATAACACAAAAATATTTCGGGTCTAGACTTTGGATAAACGAAAGAAAACAACAGACTGTTTGATCTGAATCCAATATGAAGACAAATACATGTTATTATTTTATGATTATGCATCATTATGTCCAAGAATACTTAAGTATAAACTTTTAATTTGAAGAGATTTATTGACAAATAACTGAATCACATCCAGAAAACATTCGTAAAGCTTCTTTGAGACGACAAATAGTTTTTCTTAGTTTGATTTCTTCTCTTCACAAAGGAGGATAATTTCAGTATGAATGACACACCTACACACAAACACACACACACACACACACACACACACACACACACACACACACACACACACACACACACACACACACACACACACACACACACACACACACACAAACGCACACACACATACACACACACCCAGCTCAGTGTGGGGTTTATAAAATAATTCAGAGTTATTCTCTCGGTCTTACCTCCCTGAAGCTCAGCTTCCCGTCGAAGTCTTCGTCGACCTCTTTGATCATGTTCTTCAGACCCAGGTGAGTCTGAGGAGCTCCGAGTTTCTCCATCATCAGCTTCAGCTCCATCAGGTCGATGAAGCCGTCTTTACCTGTGTCGTACCTGCACAACACAAAACATGCACACACTTTAAGTATGACAGCCATAATTCTGTTTAGGCTGCATTCAAAGAGGGTGCAGCTCCACAAAACCTGATGCACATTTAGTAGATGATGTTTTACTATAAGACAATGACTTTATGTACACATGCTTAAGCAGCAACATGTGATCTTACCTCTAACCCCTAACACATGGACATAGTTGTAAGGTTGGACAAAATGTATTTGAACAGTTTAGACCGTGTCACCAAGTCTGCTCTGTCTGTTTCTAAGAGACATGAATGTAACTGTTTTTATCTTTGAGACTTTAAACATGTCAGTATTTACCGACCTGTGAATTTAAACGGACCCACGCTGCTCTCTCTTTCACTGGCTTTGGAAACTATTGATCAGTAAAATATCAGATATTATATTATTTGAAATGATGTAGTATCAAAACTGAACCTAAGCCTGTAGTGGAAAAATAACACTCAAAATCATCTTCATATGTCATGTGCCCTCTTTACATTGGTTTCTCCGTCTTATCCGACAGCTGATGCTAGCTATGCTGATGCTAAGGTAAGAATGATAGCATTCATCTCATATCTGTCAGACTTTTTCTCCAGAGCTATCTGAATGTAAAAACGTGATCACAGCTCTAGTTTATACTCAAACTTTATTTGTGATTTGAAGAAATTAGTTTATCTTCTCAGTATCTCAGTTCAATTCAGCTTCTTTACAAGTCCTCTCACCTCCATCACGTCTGCATGTGAGACTCTGTTATCATCCACTGAGAGCCTTACAGGCTTATGTCTGATTGGAGCAGTATTTATAGAAGCTTTCAGCAGCTGTGCATGTGTGTGTGTGTGTGTGTGTGTGTGTGTGTGTGTGTGTCTGTGTGTGTGTGTGTGTGTGTGTGTGTGTGTGTGTGTGTGTACATATACATAGACTTATCTTTCAGGCGGAGAACCAAGTCATTGTTTTGGAAAAGGCCACGAAATCTACCTCAGACTTGCAGTCTCCGGAGAGGAAACAAAAAAAATCTACTGCTAAGCAAAACCTGTGATTGTTAGCATCATGTGATTCATTCTGGCTCATTAGATCCTAACCCTGTCACACTATGGTGGCATCATAAAAACACACCTGGAATCTAAATCCATCCAATTCAGTCCGACCCCTGGATCCATGTTGGCCCTGATACAGACTTTAAAAGCCAGATATGATTGTTCAGATATCTGTTTATTTATCCGGAATCTAAATCTGTTTGGTCTCAGAAACGCCATCCATCCATCCATCCATCAGACCGTCCAACCATCCATCCCTCATCATCCATCCATCCCCTCGCCCATCCA